CAGTGAATATATCTGGATACTTTCTCGATGGTTGCCGGCCTTTTAGGGACAAGGGTTTAGAATATTTAAGGATTAGGAACGGAAGGGATGAAAGAAGGGATCGGGCCTCCGGTAACCATACTCATTTGTTTCGAACTGTAATGAACAATGTAGGTGAGTATATTCTACTTAATAAAATCAAATAATCGTTATTAAAACTAACAAACGATAAACCTGATGGGAAGCAATCAGCGGCTACCGCCTTAACAATTGCAACACCAAAAGAGTAACAAGTGCGTCACCGGCACCGGCCTATTTTGTTAGCGATATGAGGATTAAGAAATTGGGCATGGGGCGGGAAAGATTAGGCCTCCGGTAACCTCACTCGGTACCTAAGTTTTGGGAATGGTAAGGGGAAGGATTGGATGGCGGAAATTGGATTCTCGGGCCACCAAACGTAGGTACATTTTTTTTATGTCTTCATTTCTCCTGATAACTAGAACAAGATGAAATGGTGATATTATATCATGTTTTTTTTTAATTTAAAACTAAAGTTATTAGTTATTAATAGTTATTGTATATTTTTATTTGCCAATTATCTGATAAGCATTATTAATTTTTAGAAAATAAAATTACCAGTGTAATATTGTGTATGCAATACAGGAATTCAATATAGGAGTTTTAGGAAATATAATATTAAGAAAACCAAGTTAATATTAGGTACTACACAATGGGATTTGCTAAGAAATAACAGATTAGTATGTACAGTAAGAAGGAAAATGAGTTAGTAATATTACAACAATATGAAACAATACTCATGTATTAAATATTTTTATTAATAACAAAAATCAACACACACATAACATGTAATAGTCTTTTATTTAAAATAATGAGAGTTCAATAGTTGAGTGCAAATACAATAAAATAATTTAATACAAAACTTAATCAATCAGTAAAAAATGTCCTTAACATCCATTACAGGAAAGGATCACAGGATAATATATTTTATATAATCAGAACTGAAATCCCTCCCATTTCCCAAAAGGCCAATGCTTATAAGTCTAGTGCTGTGGGTGTCTATGCGCTACAACCATCAAGTGATGAGTGCTCTTCAAGTGATGAGTGCTCTTCCCTTTTAAACTTATACTCCATGGTAAAACCAATAAATTATGGTAAATAATACCAAAATTTCAAGTTAACATTTCCCCTTTCTACAACTAATTAGTTACCATAATTGTAAACTTTGGTGAGCAAAATTCTAGCGATGCCTAACTAGCACATTCTTACCTTAAACATCTACTTAATAGTATTTACGTTGGAATAATTGACAAGTCTTTTATCTAAACATACAATATGTAATAAATAGCAGCTACTATAAATACTAGGAATGATGACAGAGGTACCCAATACTTCCTCAAAAGACCTTTGTCATCCTTGTCCACAACCATTTTCTTTTCCTTATACTTCTTCTTCTTGCCGCTCAATTTCCACTCATACTCTGCTAACTCTTTCCGATTCTTCTCCTCCTCTAACTCCTTTAATCTCTGTTTTTCCTTCTCCTGCTCTAATTTTACTGCAGCTTTCTTGGCTTCACAGGTTGCATCACACAATATCTTCGTTTCTCCACTTCTTACGGAGTTGCACGGAGCCTCCTTCTTAATATTACCACATGGACAATAAACTTTAGTCTTTTTTGTGCAAACTTGGTTGCCACAAGCTCCTGAATGACATGTGTTACGGCAGCGATGCCCACATGCCAAGTTCTTCGGACATTGCTGTTTGCATGAAAGCATCTCCTCGGTAGCAGTTGATAACTCTCGACAACGCAAATAGATCTCTGTTAGGCCACAGTGGCAAGCCAATCTCTCCAGAATCTCACATGGACGGCATGGACCTGGATGACAGGCACGAATAGGACATTTATGAGCACATTTAACTGGACGAGGAACTGAACATTCTCTGTTGCATTGCTTGCAACTAGAAGGCACATTTGGATACTCTGGCAGAGGACTGTAGAGGTGACACATCATAGTACATTTGTGGTTTCCACATGCCAATGGTTTTCCACAATCTCTGCCACAAGGTCTTCGAGTTGCTGTGTGGCAGGGCTGGTTATCAGTCTCATGTTCACCAAAACAAACTATTGGAACAGGAGTTTCACAAGGTGGACAATCCAAGGTCATAATTTTTGTTTTGGGTGGCTGAACCTCCCAGGGAGTGGCAGGTTTCTCAACCTGCTTAAACACCACAGCAACATACTCATGACAAACCGCCTTACATTTGTGTTCACACTTGGGATATTGCTTGTCACAAATAGCTTTGCAAGGTGGACAATCACCAAAATGGCATGTATGTTTGTTTTCCGCAGTGTGACCACACTTGTATTTTATTTTACAAGGCAAGTTACACTTGGGAGGTTTGGTTTGCCGTTCCCGTCCACATGGAACCCGTACAAAAGTTTCCTTGCATCTGCATGTTACTTTGGATTCTAAAGGGCATGGGTAGCATGGTCCTCGGTGACAAATGTTGGTACATTTATGCCTTCCACACTGAAGTCCTTTGTCACATGTTTTCTCACAGGGAGGACAGTTTCCATTACAGCACTTCCTCCCACAGCCATGCTTGCCACATGACCTTATCCCTCTACATTTAGTGTCACATTTGTAGTCTTTGCTACATGGCAGTGGCCTTGTATGTGTGGAGCAGTGACATTTCTTAGCAACTAAAACTTGACAAGGCGGGCAGTTTCCATTATGACATTTCTCTGGGCAACTATGTTCACAATCTGCATGCTTCTTACCGCATGTGCCTAAGCAAGTTTCCATGACATCTGGACATTTTAAGAATCGCTGGTTGGCCCCGCAGGGACATGATGTCATTCCAGAGTTGGGACAGTCCCCACATTCCCCGGCATGACATATTCTTTCACATTTATGGTAACCACATGAAAAAGACTTGTTACATGGCTTCTTGCACTGCCAGAATGGGTCATTGCATGGTCTCTTAGATTTCTCACTACCACATTGACAAGGTTGAATGCTGGTGTAACTACATTCAGGACAATCTCCAGCATGACACACATTTTCACATTTATGAGTCTTACATAACAGAGTTTTCTTGCAAAGCTGACCACAAGACCACTTGGCTGCACTGCATCTCACTCTCTTCCTCTCCTTTTCACAGTAACATATTCCATTGACAGTTTGTGGGCACGGTGGGCAAGGACCAGGGTGGCATAGCAGCAAACACTTATGTTTACAATTATCACCAGTTGACAATCTCTTCTCACAGACCTCTCCACATGTATGTGGAATGAGCCAAGGATGAGGAGGTGGGTTGTCAGTTTTACCACAGAAACAGCGGTATTTGCGAGGTATTTCTTCCTTGGAGTACGACTGCCGGCACTTGGGACAACACCACTCAATTTTCTGTTGTTTTATTACAGCTATTGGGCCGGTGCTTTCTTCGCTACGCAAACTTATGCTGTCATTGGACCATTTTTGTATACAGGACAGATGGAAGTAGGAATAACAGTGGTCGCAAGTCCAAATAGCGTGACTTTTCTTTATCGATCCTATGCATATGAGACACGTTACTGAGCGACCGCTGATGGCTTCTTCTAATAAGTTTTTAGTCCTGTTAAGCATTTGAGTGTCTCCACCACCTCGCCAGTAGCTCTGGAACACACCTTCCAGGACGCTGGACTCGCAAGGCTCCTCATCTTCAGACGACGAGAGTTCCTTCATTTCTTTCAAATGTTTTTGAACATTTTGCTGCAATTTTGCAGCGGCGTCTCTATATCGGCGTGCCATGGTTGTTTTTGTTTGAGGTTTTAATATTTTTATGTAGTAGTACTTTCAGAGATAGAGTGAAAATTGACAGTAAAAGAAATTAAAATCGAAATTGAAATGATAAAGTTCGTCTTCCTTCCAGTAAGGCATGACGTTGACATACGATTCTTTTTAATGTCAAAAGTATTGGACACGTCAATTTAATTTTTTCTTGTTGTCAGTCGAAAAAATAATAATAAAATTAGTATGAAAAGTACCTAAGTAACGTACAAAATCCCAATACACCTTAGAAAAAAGATTTTTCTATTGAAATATTTATCAAGACAGTTTGTTATCTTTTAAGCTGACAAGATCAGTAAGTAATAAATATCTTGTATTCATTTCTACATCAAACATCTACAAAAAAAATATTATTTACATTTAGCGTAAACATTAGTGTCAATAATAATATACTTTATGTATAACATAATTTATATTTACTGATTTAAACATTTTTTAAATAATTTAGCGCCATCTACAGTCTAGTAGCAAAAACAAGAAGACGACAAGGAACTCCCATTACTATATGCTATTGGTTAATAGATGGCAGACGTCGTATGATTAATTTTCTGTTCTGTGATTCTAAATTAATAATATTAAATCAATTATTCATATTTGATAAATCAGTTGAATGGGAAACTAGAAGTTTTAATAACAAACAGTTTTAATAACATAAAATAATGAAGCACGAGCACCAACCTGCGATTCGATTTTATTAAGTCCTTTTTTTAAGATCATAAAAACTAGTGCTTGACTGCAGTGCAATCCCGCCTGATGGTATGCAACGATGCAATCGTTGATGGTAAGGCGCTCTAGTTTATTATGAGCCTATTCAGTCGACCGGACGGGAAGACCTTTGCAGGCAAACTATTCCAATCTTTAGATGTGCGTGGTAAATATAGGGAATCCATGATGCCAATTTATAAAATACAATCCTTTTTCAAAAATTTATTTAACTTTTTATATGAAATAACCAGGCTTTGATAATTTGATAATCGCCTTGTAAGTATATAAAAAAAAATAGAATGCACCCTTTTTATTAGGTATCTATAATACTTAGTGGCAATTTAACAGGAGAGTGTATATATTTAATCAAAAATCAAAAATAAAAAATCAGAGCAGGAGAAGTAACAGGGGGATTTTGTTGATTTACCCATCAAAAAAAAAAACGGGTACAATAAAACATAGATACGTTATAATTAGATGTTTATTTATAAATCATTCAAGTTACATTCGAGCTATATTAGCTTCTCATCAAATTATCATCTTAATTACAAACGCCAAGCATCGAATACACCTGACATTATTTAATTTCAAATTAACACAACACACGTCAAATTAGTTGTACTTAAAAAGCGTTAAAAATAAAAGAAAAATTTCAAAGTAAAAACTTAAAACTAAAATGAAAATAAAATTAAAAATATTATGCACAGATATTTTCAATATCTTATTAGTAGTAAAAGCATTTTTTGCGTTGGCAATGACTAAAAATATTATTATTAAAATGGTAACATTATTGGATACATTTACATAAGTAGGTATAAGTCCAGTGGTCAATGGCACTATTAAATAACCACTAAAAAGGCTTCACAATTTAATAAAATGTTTGTTATCAGGGCCGTAGCAACATTTAAAAAAACACAGGTCTATTAATTTACCAAATATAGTCAAAACAGAGCATGGTAGGTACTATTTATTTCAGTACAACAAAAAATTACAACTCTTAATTTAATAAAAAAATGTACTCGTAGATAAAAAACATGTTTTTTTTTATGGCACATACTTTATTATAAAAGTTATACCTGTGCTTCTATCAGTAAGACCTTATGATTGTTACCCTCATCAGTTATGGACGGACTTTCCTTATGAATATTAGTGGACGAATTTTGAGAATCAAGAATGTCCTCCCAAGTTTTTAGAAGGCTGATCAAAGTTTTATCTGAAGTCAAAGCAATTTTTTTCCCAACTAAACCGCAAGACGATATATTTAATAGCGTGTTAATTCATATTTGCATTGATCAGCGTTCCAAAAATCAAATTTTATAAATCGAAGACATTGTTAACGAACTCTAGTGTTTATTTCTGGTTTTTTATTTTTGCTCGACAACCTGAACCAGCCAGCTTTTTTATTGTTATCTTTAGGCATAGAGATAGAACGGGACAGTCTTTCTCTGTCGCTCTCCCGGTTTATAATTTCGCTTGATTGAGATTTCTTGCCGTCTCGAGCTACGGATTTCCGCGGTGTAGTGTTTGTGTCTTTGATTCTTTTATCAGATTTTTTGTATAACGTTGAACTGGAGCTTGTTAGCCGACTGTTCTGTGGTCGTCTGGTCAATGTGGTTTGGCTGTAGGATTTATTTTTTTGTAGCGTCGCTGGCCTGTCCTCTGTCAACGTTTTTGTTGAGGATGCCTTCTTCACAATTTCTTTGGGCTTTGATTTTCTTGGTCGCTGTGCATAGTGCACGTCGTGTTGGTCGTTGTAATGTTTAGGTGTCCAGGGCGCGAATATTGAGAAGCTCTTCGTTGTGGTCCGTACTTGAAGGTTGGAGGAGTTGACTGAGGAGACATCGTCACGGGAGCGGTTTCGTGTCATACGACCTGGGTCTGGGATGTCGCCAACTGAAATGGGAACCATGTTTAAGTCTATGACTTCAAATTAATCTTTAATAAGCCTATTGCTAAGCTTAAAACTTGTTGTGGGAGAGCCATGCTTAGGCAAGAATGGGTCGACGTAACCAGAGTTATATCACGGCTTCAGAAAACCGGCGTACTACTAATTGGGAAGGATTATGCCTCCAGTTCAAAAATCTTCGAAACCCTAATCTCTAACTCCCGTGCTGTGGACATTCGTGGATGGAGTCGATAGCTTATCAAAAGGTAATCCATATGCTCGTCCTATGACGTTAAAAAAGCCGTTGAATTGATAAGGCAAGCAATTATTTGTAAAGCAGAGAACTTCGGTACTTTTAACTCTAGAACGTTTCTTATTTTTCATTCTTTGTTTAATTCATCAAACCCCAAGCGAACGCCGGCGTTCGCGCACCTATTGTTCTTCGGTCGTGTCTCTAGTTACCACGATTGGAAGGTTAAAATAATACTTACCCGTAGTTGCATGTAAGTAGACAACACTGCGTTGTGATTGGTGGCTGGAATCACCTTCCGTGCTGCTCTCACCAGAATTTGTGACTGGAGTCCTGCGTCGGTGTCTGCGACAAAACAAATTAGATTTTAAATTTATTAGAAGTAGCGTGCAATTTACTTAATTACCTTTGAAAACGAGATGATGATTATAAATGGTGACGAGGTCAGATCTAAAACGCACGTAAAACAATACTTATTGCGTGTTCAGTGCAAGGATTTAGTATGTACTTATAGCTAATACGGAATCTGTTGTAAAGCAATTAAGTGTTAATATCCAAACTTATATTATATGTGGAGTGATACCACGGCCTCACAGAAAACCGGCGTGAAACAACCACAGCGCGCCGTGCGAGTGAGGTTACCGGATGCCCAATCCTTCCCCACCCGCAAACCCTCCTCAATCCTTAAATCTCCAAATCCCTAAAAGGTCGGCAACGCACTCGTAGCTTCTCTGCTGCGGGTGTCCATGGGCGGCGCTGATTGCTTACCATCAGGTAATCCGTCTGCTCGTTTGCCGACTTATTACATAAAAAAAAATGATGACTCAGCAATCATAAATGTAAAAGTATGTGAGAATGTATGGAAGTCTGTATGTTATGTTTGTTATCTTCTTACGCAAAAATGGATGGAACAATTTAATTTTGGTTAAAATTTGATATGTATGTAAATAGGTAGGTACCCTGATTAATACATAGCCTACTTTTTATCCGCGGGTGGAACCTGGTCATTACGTGTTGAATTATTGAATGTATACTCACTTTATGTCTCTGCTAAGCTCCTGCTTACTTCCTCTCAGTTCAGACGAGCTACCTCTATCATCATGTCTTCGCCTTACATCTCCCTTAGATCCTTTCAAAGTCTTCGAACTGCTGTGACTCCTGGACCTTTCGTATGGACTTATTGGAGGTTTCGCATTCACTTTCCTGTCAAATTGACTCTCTGTCTCCGAATTACTCTGTATTTCGGATATGTTTTGCAGGTTTCGCTTGTAGTGTTTGCCATTTGGTGATTCGCTTTTTTCGTCCCTATGTAGGTTTGATAAAGAGTAGCTTTTGCTTGTCAGCTCACCATGATCTACTTCATCTAAGCCTGTGCTGGAGTTGGAAATGGTTTTCCTTAGTGTGCCGTGTTTTGTATGTGTGTACCGTTTCGTTTCTGTTGATGGCTTGACATTGGCGTCTGAATCTGGGTCTGTGTCTCCAAAGAAGCGGAGGTTCTTTGCAGGTGATGTTAGCGGTTTGGCCGGTTTTGGATACGTTTTGCGTGGTGCTTCATCTTCTGTTGTTATTATGCTTTCTTTTTCGATCTGTAAATTAACGTTGTTTAGAAATTGAATAGCTATGTTTAAATTCGCTACCTACAGTACAGGAGTTATGGAATGAGCTTCAAACAATCCTGGCTCATTAATCCCTTCATTGAGAAGCAGATGTACTTTGAAATGATTTAGCAACTACAAAATATCTACTACGAGTAAAATTTACTACATCACCATTAGTTCTAGTTACCTTAGTATTCTTCTTCTTCCTAGTAAGACGATCGAGAGACTTGAACCAGTTGCCAGCAGGTGGAGTGGGGGCGGCCTGTCGTCGCGGCGGGGATGGAGTGGGGCTCGGCGTGGCCAGCCTGCGTCTCTCGCGGTAACGTTCAGCCTAGAAATAAGTGATTTTGTTTAGTTGGTGATAAGCAATAATTATTGGTAGATATTTGACAGGGGTACCCCTGTCAGATACCTACCGGTTATCATAATCTTGAAAGTTCATAATGCCTATGATTGAAATACCGACGAACAAAACGCCGAAATATGAAATATCGAAAGTTTTTAATGCTAATAGTCGTTATATCGAAACACAAAATACGGAATGGACGAATTCCCGAAAGGACAAAATCCCGAATGGACGAAACATTGATGGACGAAATACCGATAGATGAAATAACGAACCGAGGTAATACCGATGAATGAAATCCCAAAGAGCATGCATGCGTGCTTCACAAAATTTAAGGACAAGTAACAAAATTTTGAAACTTTTTTCTGGATGATAAGTGTGACTAATTGAGCTCGATGTACATTACACATAGGTAATATAGTTTTTGTGATCTGAGATCATCTTATTATTTCTCACATACCCGCTACATGTTAGCACATCTCCACGCGATCGACACGGAGTTCATTGACACCGGTCGTGTTAATAAAATAGTGTCTTCTAGGATACTTGAGATTTTAAGTAGCTTTTTATATTTCGTTTCTTTAGCTACGCTTTTACCCATGTCTTTCATCATCATTGTGAACCAGCCTATGAGAGTTCACTCCTGGACTCTGGGCCTTCAGTACAATATAGGGGATTACTTTAATTCCTACATTTGGCTTTGCTTGCGTAATTTATTAATGTCCTTTTCCGTACTCCTAACTCCTTTTGCTAGCGTTTTCAATATTGCTCGGCTTCCTTTGATCAAAGGGGGATGTTTCATAGACAACAGTTTTTTTTAAATAAATGAATGCATGAATCGAACCGTTCGTTCCTGAGTCTTCTCTAAACTATATTATAATTCTTCCTTCCTCAACAAATAGACTATCTAGCATAAAAATAATCATCCAATCGAACCAGCATTTTTTGAGATTCTCGCGTTCAAACAAACTAACAAACTCTTTAGCTTTATAACATTCAATAGCTAGTATATATGTGAAGAATGGTTAATTAGATAAAACATGAAGAGGCACTTAATGAACAAACATACATTTTCATTAATAATTTAATTGGATGGGATTTTTAACTTAGCATAACAAGTCTAGTTCATTATTTATTTAATTTGCCAATGCACTCGAATAAGTGATGACGGATGGCAACGGATGTTAGCTAGATAGATACCTCCTTATGTTTCGTGTTGCCTTGGTATCTCATATCAATCAAGATGGTTTTTTGTGTGAAACCACAAGCTGTCAGTGCTTATTTAATTATAATTTAGATTTTTTATTTGTTTTTATGTCAAAACATTTATTTATTAGTTACCTATTTGTGTTAGGTAATAAGTATTTTTAAGAAAAATTTTAATTAATTTTGGTCACGCGAGCGAGAGCCTTAGAACCGAAGTTCAATATCCCGTTAATATATTTTGTTATTGCTTGGTTTTAAACTTATCAATTTGAATTTCCTATTGTCAACATAATAATAAAAAAAAAATGATCTCTTTGTAGACTTCCTTTCTCGCGGTAGCCCGGAGGTTAAAGCAGCACTTCTAATGAATGAGGGTGTAGGTTCGAAACCTGGCAAGTACCTACTAATGTGACTTTTTCTGAGTTATACTAAAATGTTATTTCTATGATCATTTAGTCACCACTGACATACGGTGAAAGAAAACATCGGGTGGAAACCTGGACTTATAAAGTCTAAACAAGTTTGAAATAGCATATCCGATTAAATCTACGTACGAGAAGAAGCCTTTGTTCAGAAGAGCGCACTCTGATGATGGGATTTCTTCTTTCTTTACCAATGTCTTTAAAGAATTGTATACTACAGACTTGTTACAATAATCTATTTAATTTTTAACCGACAATATCAACTTACGACAAAAAAGGTTGAAACTGTTTGTTTTTGGTAATTCAAATACGATATATATCGCTTGTCTATGTCAACATCCGTTTGAGTTCAATGCCCGAGTGTTGGAGACAGCTAGTGCATAGACAATAATACTTGCAGAAAGATAATACGTAATTATGAATTTTAAAAAGTTTGTAATATTTGAATACCTACTAGACTTCTTTTTTGCTTTTGCAATCGAAATTTTTGTTTATGCTGTGTACTAGTAAGTTCAAATGTAACACCATGCTAGTCGGGGACGCGAGTCAAGTGCAATCAGGTACTGAGAAATAACGGGGGGTTTAGTAGAAAGAAAAGAAAGAAAAACCATTTATTTCACACACAAATGACGCAAGAAACAAACATACACGAATATAGTTAAAGAGGGACAAAACAAGCAATGAACATAAAAGAGAAAAAAAAAAAGAAAAGCACTAAAATTGCGTCACTCATTCGTGAAAAAGGGCAGCGCTCAGCATAAATGCTGTGTCTCGCGCACGCAGGCACGATACAACAGCGCTGGTTTTCAGCACTGACCCTCCACGCAGTGGACTCCAGTAGGAGTCTGACACTCCCTCTCTCCATACCTCAGGCGAGAGAAGAGCTTCTAGGTATATTCTATTAAAATAAAAAGTTGTAGGTTAAGCGCAAAAATTTACCATAGCTCGGCTCAAAGCAGGAGAAGCGACGGGATGGTTATGGCATATCAGCTCAGCAGCACTAGCTATACTGGTTGCAAACTGACACTTGCGTGCCTGTCTTCAGAACGGGTCCACTTAAACTGGTGTGGTTCTTTCCTCAAAAGACCACTACAGAATAAACTTGCACGATTCTCTCACATTATGTTATTTTACATTGTCTGGACTTGAAAAGAGACTGACCTCTGAGTTTGTTTCGGCATTTCTTCTCAGAGAAGTCAGATAGGAAATGCCGGCTTCATCTAGTTTTCACATATAATTTGACGTGTAAAAGTGCCGTTTTATGGCCTATTTGCAAAAATAAATTAATTGTTTCATTGTTTCATTGGATCAGTAACAGTCAGAAATTCCCTCTCGCCCCTTGGAGAGAATATCATATGAAGCCGGAATAAAATATTTAATAAATGTCCCCTAAGAAGATTTTATTTATTATATATATTTTATTATTATATTTATTTTATTATCGCTATATCTACTTGAGGGAGGAAACCGAATGAATGAACTGATGTCACTCGTGATGAGTGCCCCTTCAGGATCTTTTACTCTTTCAGCTCTTTCCTTCTACTGCTCCCACGGGCCTCGATACTTCACTGCGCTTACACCCGCAAAACCCGGCTGCATTCTTCTTATTCCAGAGCACCTAAATAGTCCACCATAGATGGGCCCACTAAGGCCGGAGTCCAACCAGGGTTGCGGCTGCTAGCGCATTAATGTACCGGGCAAAAACAGCAGAAGAAACGGGATGGTTTTTTAGTCTTTAAAACTCTGTCACTCCATGTCGCCTGATCGAGGTCGGGAGGAGATATTCAATGATTTTCCTCAAAAGAAAGGAGATACCATAAGATATCAAATTTTAAGTACTTATACCAATAAAAAATAATTTTATATCATTTTGTCACTACATATATCCGGAACGCACAAGTACATGAGATACCAATGACTGTCTCGTCGACTTAAGGCCACCCACCATATGGCCGGTGACCTCAACTGGCCCATTTTGGTACAATGAAGGTAAAACTGTTTTCTTGCATAAAAACCTTAAATGTTTGTTGTCACTGCAGTATGAATTACTCTCTCCTTCGAGATTTCAAAAATGAAGAATGGTGTTCTCAATTTGTTCTGTATGAAATTGTTTGGAACGATATTGATAAGGTTTCAAAAAAGTATTTATCTGTTAATAAAATTAAAATTAATGTTTTATATAATTCTATAGTTTCATGCCTCCCTGGTTATCATAACAAGTGGTTCTGTTAAGTTGAGATATTAGATTCGTTTTGCGAGCCAATTTAAATACTATAACTGGTTTCAGTTTTTTGAAAAATACTCAGTAATAGCCCAGATAAATTATGCCTGGTATACCCCTTATTATATGGAAAACTTAACGTATCTGGTGATAAGTGGAACTTTATGAGGGACTTTACGCTGGTAGCGTATGTGGTGAAGCTGCTGCGTGGCGTAGCGCATAACCCGGGAGTGTTGAGACACCAGCAGCTATGTGTGCCAGACCGATATGTGTGGAGGCGGAGACGCCCGCCTCTCCTCGCTGTGCCGGCGGCCAGAACCAACTTACTGGCAAGGGCTCCTCTCACTAGAGCCATAAATGTAGTGAACAAAGTTCATGAAAGGGTTGATGTATTGTGTTGCAAAGTGGGTGAATTCGTAAAAGTCACGTTGTATATATTATGTTTTTCAAATGTTAATTAAGATTGCTATATTATTTTTTATTTTATTTTTATTATTGTTATTTAGTAAGTAGTTGCACTGCTGATCTCGTGACTATAGTGTCGACAGTATTATATTATTTACTTTTATAGATTAATGTTAGGTTTTTTAATGATTAAGTAATTAGGTACATACTCTTTGATTAAGTTAGTTATGTTATAGGTAGGTATGTGCATTTTTAGTTTAAGAAGACAGGTAATGTTTTTTTCTTATTTTTTTTTACTTTGTATGATTTTAATCCTAAAGTTTAGTTCATAATTAAGGTGTTGTATGATTTCTTTTTGATTGTGTTATGTTGGTTTAAATTAGTAAATAAGTTCTTAGATTTAGATATAGGCCTAAGCTATCGCATTGGAGAAATCTGTAATGGTAGTATAAGGTAAGATTTTTAAATAAATAAATAAATAAAAATTATTTATTTATTTATAACCCTTCATAGTACACAAATAGGGCTTAATTCTATTGGCATTTACTTCCAGTCAAACCTTTGGGTGGTGCAAAGACAAATATATGGTTAAAAACAGTAATCCAAACTAATATTATGAATGCAAAAGTAACTCTGTCTGTCTGTCTTTCCTTCACGCCAAAACTACTGAACCTATTTGTGTGAAATTTGGTACAACATAGTTTGGAACTCAAGAAAGGTCATAGATTAGT